TGATGCTGATCAAGAATATATATACTTTATAGTGTCGGAAAGGTCTTCAATGAGTTGCAAACTTCTGACTGAAATTATAATACTCTGGAAGGGTATAAAAATAAATAACCATTGGTTATGTAGTTTTTGTGTAATATTACCTGAAAGCCGAGTATTGTTGTATTGAATCATATCTCCGACAAAAAATTTTGAAAACTTTTTTGATTACAGATTCGGAATCCTTGGGAAATTTTCTTTTGTTCGAGAGGCGCTACTGTGCATCCGTCTGTCCGTCCGTCTCTCTTGGAGCTATCTGAATGAAACTTTGCCTGGGCCATAGATTGGGGGTCTTCCCGTACCAACGCAACAGGTTGAACAAAGACTAGCCTGGTTGGTTTTGCGGACGACATCGTTGTGGTAGCAAAGAAGCTATCTGGTTGGAGGGACAAGAATACGGTCGCAGCGGGCGATCAAATACTTGGGCGTCCTCAGCGACACTCGTCTGTCCTTCAAATGGCACCTTGAGTACGTCCACAAAAAGGCCAGGGAAGGCAGGAGCGCTCTCCAGGATGCTGCCGAACACGTGAGGGCCAAAGCAGTATATGAGGAAATTTCTACTGTCAGTAGTGGCTGCGCAGATCCTGTATGCGTCTCCAGTTTGGGTTTAAGCTGCAGCTGTCAAAAGCGACATGCGAGGAGTGGAGGCGATCTACCGACTGTATCCTGATGGCGGATCGCGTGTTTGTTCCGGAGTATTTCGGAAGACGCGGCATTGGCTATCGCAATGCAAGTCCCACTAACGGAGCTTATCCGGTAGATGATGGAGATCTCCATAAGGCCAATGAACTCGCCATTTTCCAACCACTCCGCTGAGGCGGCGCCAATTAAAAAGGGGCACTAGCACCGAGAAGGAGCGGTATAACTCCCATCAGCACCGACGGACCCCATTAGGAGCAGGAGCGATGAATGATGTCATTTTGCCATCAGGCCGGAATGACGCGACGATGACTGCTACGTAAATTTCAGCGATTAAAGCAAAAGGTACTACGCTCGCCTCCTTTGACCACGGCCGAGACGCATCTGATGTCAGCACCACCGAAAGTACATGGCCCAAAATTCGTATTTGGCAAAAACGATGAGGAGTTGCCCACCCCAAAGAAAAGCCAGGAAGCTGTGAGCCCTGAAGGGAAGACGGACGGAGCCACCAAAAAACAGAAGGTGGAAGTAAACGTACAAGCCCTGAAACTTGCAACGATGTTGGATGAGATGATCGCGAAGTTCAAGGACACCAAAAGCAAACAACAAAAACGTAGTTCTTCACGTCTCTCAGTACTCTATACATTCGATACTGGCCATGAAAAAGCTACACCTCGATATTGTAGCGATGGCCGACACCCACCCCGAGCGCCCCACTTCGTGCGCAAGCCAGCAGACAACTCCGAAGCTGGATGGCACGACGTATACAGATGCACCCGCAGGTAGGCCAGGAAATACAGCTTGGCAGCAGGTGAAAGCAAAAAGCCCAAGAATCCCCACGACAGAGCTGAGATCAGCGCCCTTGATGAACTCCGCATGCCAAGAAAACAGGGCTCTGATGCTATCCTGATTAAATGCAACGCAGTATCCTACGCAGACCTGCTGAGGATCGTCAAAACGGAGCCTCCCTAAAAGCACTCAAGAGCAGCGTGAAAGGCGTGCCAAGGAGAGCTAACGGCGGGCTCCTGCTTAGCATGCAGAAGTTCCTCGACACAGCTACGGAAAAGCTACATGCTACCATAAAGACGGCCATGTCCGGCAAGGCGGAGGTGACTGTCATGCATAGGTCCAGGTGGAGATCGCCGGTATTAATCGCTGGGGACTTCAATACATGGTCCACCGACTTGGGGAAGCTCGTGGACAATACAGCGGGGAACCATCGAACCATTGTGAGGAATTGTTGTTTTTACTTTGGGCCTTATAGAGCTTAATAAAAAGCATACGAGCCAAAATTTGTGTGCTGAGGTAACATACCTTTTAAATAGCTTTGGCATTACCAAAGACCAAATATATACCGTCACAACAGACAACAGGCGTAACATGGTAAAGGACGTTGAGCTCTTAAGCCAGTCGGTTGAAGCAGACGACCTTGATCAGTCTTCTGATGATTTGGCGGATGAAGATGATCAATGGTTAGATGATGAAAATCTTCTGAATGGCTTACGCATTCACAGCATCCAAGCTGTTAAATGTGCTGCACACACTTTACAACTCGCTATTAAGGACTTTTTTAAAGAGCTTGAGTCGTTTGAAGTAATTGACAAAGCCCGTAAGATTGTAAAGACTTTAAGGACGCCTGCATACAAGCCTTTAATTATTGAAAAGTCTCTGCCATACCCTCAATTAGATGTTCCTACGCGTTGGAACTCATCTTATTCGAAGATCAAGAATTTGTTGAGTTTTGAACAGTTATGTGAAGAGCATTGGGACCCTAGCCTAAAGCTCACAGACACCGAATGGGAAAATCTGAAAGGGCTAGTTGGTTGAAATTCTAGAGCCAGCTTTCATTGCCACACAGAAATTGCAGAGCACACAACTATATATGGGGGACTTCTACAAGCTGTGGTTAGGGCTAAAACTTACTGTTGGGGCTGTAAAGCAGAAAAATGACAGTATTCTAAAGACGTGCATCGAATCTCGAGAGGCATCTCTTATAGAAAACAACGTTGTCGTCTGCAGTTTATATTTGGACCCTCGAATAAGGAGGGTTTTGCTTAAGAATCCTATCAGTTTGATGCAGGCCAGAGCTCAACTGAAGCTTTTAAAAGTTCGAATTCTGAAGATGGATTCGCAGGTAATTATATTTCAACATTATATTTATTCCGTTAATTTTTGGATGACAATTCTGTACTTCTTTGTTCATAGGAAGCACCGCGGTGTTTTAATAGTCCGGGGCCATCATCAAGTCAGCAAAGGCCAGTCTAAAGTCTGCAATCGATTGAGGAATCGAATACCTGTTCGCTGGTAACTGAGGTTGCATCAGGGGACGAAGACTCAGAAGGCAGCCATAGTGAACTGATAAAGGCTGCCCAGCTAGAGATTGACAACTACAATCCAAAGCAAGTTGACTTGAATATGGATATTATGGAGTATTGAGAGACTAAAAAATTTACCTTACCATATTTCTTTATGCTGGCAAAAGTGGTTCACGCCGTACAAGCAACTCAAGTCAGCGTGGAAATGTCATTTTCGGCTCTTAAATTGATGCTGACCGATTTAAGAAGCAATCTTTCTGCAGATTCAGTGCAGAAGCTTCTTTTTGTAAAATTAAATAAATAAAATTCTTATTTACAAAATCGTAATAGTATCTGTAAGAATTTGACATAAGTTAAATTTATTTAATAGGGTCTTCCCACACAACATTAAAGCGCATTTAGCATCGGTTGAACAAATGCTCCATAAGGTTTTGCCGTTCCGAATTTTCCCAAATGGGCCGGCGTTAGTTCAGCATTAAAATCTAACCACGGTTTGTTTGGCGATAGTTAGGCGATAGTTCTTCGGTGCAACTCTGAAAATTTGACCATCACTACGAAAGTGTATACACACTTGGCGAGAAACAAATGAGATATGGAATTTAAAACGTGGCGCCAAAGCTACAAGCATGCCCAAAATATATGTTGCCGTTTTTTCTGTATATTCTTGCCCCAATATGTCCCCAATTGTTACTATTTAATATAAACCGCCTATCTCTACCTTCTTTTAAAGATTTTGGATGCCTATACCACCTATAGACACTCTTCGGGGAATTTGCTCTTTGTTAGAGAAAAATCATTAGAAAAACTAAAATTCCTTGTCATTTAATTCTAAAGTGGAGGGGGCGGAATGGCCAAAACAAGATCGTCGTCCTTCTTGGAGGTGTGGTCGTCGGAACGTTGGGCTGGAGTTGGGCTCGCTGCTGAGTCCCACAATGTTCCCAATTAGTAGGCGAGAGGGGGGTAGCTTCAATTCAGTCAGTTTATTTGCTATATTTGCAATATTACGACTAACTTAACTATATGGAGAACGGGCTGCAGGGACCGCGGAGTGGTGAATTCGCTGCTGGAGAGTAGCGAAAGAGAGGGAGACGGGCAGAACGGAGCGTCGCTCAGAGCCCGAATAGGAGTTCGGATTTTTAGACTCGGGTCGATCTTCAAAACGACCTCGAGCCTGAAATTGCCTGTTCGGGACCGGAGAGTCGCCGAACAGACCTCGTCGTCCTCCAGTCGCGTGATGGGCAGCCGGAAAGCGGCCGCCAGCGAACGGTCGATCCTGCTCACCGCCATGCAGGGGTCTATCATCGCCCCAGTCTCGTACGTCGAGGATCCCGTGTCAAGCGCGACGATGGCTGTCGGGAGAATGTGGGTCGATCTCTGCTGTAGCCACTTCGCCACCGACGGGGTCGGAGCGGATGCTTCCTGACGTGGGCCCGCGTTGGCGGCCGGGGGTGGCGATGGAGACCGGGACACGGACCTGGCGGATGGGCGGGGACGTGACTTTGCGGGTTGGCTCGACTTGCGGGAAGGGCGTGGTGGTGGCGACGTTGGCTGGGGGGTGCGTTGTGGCGGCAGTTCCTCGTGCATGTGGAGCAAGGTGTGATTGGTCCCTCCGCACTTCTTGCACCCGTCCTCGCTGCGGCAGGTTCCTCCTGAGTGCTGATGTGCGAGGCAGTTCGAAATGTACTTATTGACAAGCACTGCTCGAAGGCGCTTTTCAGCGCTCAGTTTGTGGAACCCCTTGCACTTCCGAAGAGGATGGATTCCCCGGCAGACTCGGCAGCGGTAGGTTTGAATACCTCGGGAACGTCTGCTATCCAAGGACTGGGCGGTGCGAGGACGTGGAGCCATTGTATGAAAAAAAAACGGGTCCTGCGATAAAAGAAAAAACAAAGTTTTTTAGAAGGGGGAGTACGAACGATCGGACCTTGAAAAGTAAGAAGCCCTAGACCCTGGGAACGAAGGATTCCGTATCCTCCGCAGGGAGAAGTATGACATTATGGAGAGGGCGCTTTATGTGCGGCTCCTTCCAACTTGAATGCGGTCAGCGGCTCCTGGAAAGGCAGAAATGATTCTGCCGAGCCGCCATTCGTTCGATCGCCAATTTGGACGTTCCTTGACGGACATTGTCATTGATTGCGTTTGTGGAGTTCCACCGTGCACTAAACTGCTGCGCATTAGTCTTGAGGTGTTGCCATCGACGTAAAATCGACTTGGCTTCGCCCTTGAACTCGGGCTCAGCTTTGGAAAGCAACGGAACGGGACGTTAGAACATCGGCGAGAGGAATCCTCGCCTATTGGATGAACCTGCGTCGTAAAAGATGCGACTCTGTTCGCCTTTACATGGGAGATCGGCCCCGTAAGCACCCATCCGAAAATAGTCTCTTGGCCTAGAAGAGAGCCGCAAATACTTCTTCGGGTGCCATTCAACATTACCGACGGTAGAATGTCGGCACCGATTAGGACGTCCAGTTGCGAACTCTCATAGAACGTCGGGTCTGCCCACTGGAGAGCGGGCAGGTCTCTCAAGGAATTCCGAGAGATTGGAAGGGAGGGCAATTTGCCCGCTAATTCCGGAAGGACATAAGCTTCGGTGTCTAATTGGAGACCCGGCTTCGTAGGAGAACGAATTTGGAACTGGCATAGCCTAGTCGACTTCGCGGAAACCGACTGGTTTAGACCAGAGACTTCGGCCTGGATGTTGCGGAATGGCAACTTCATACGGTTAAAAAGCCGTTCGGAAATGAACGTCGCCTCGGATCCCGAGTCGATTAAAGCTTGTGCTCGGTAGGTCTTGCCCAAATTGCACACGTCGATCATCGCCGTGCCCAGAAGAACGGCTGTAGTGCCAGAGGCGAAATAGTTTTGCACTATTGAAGTGCTTGCGGATGCATTAGGGCTGGAGGGTCTCGACGCTTGTGTAGGATGCGAGGAGCTGGAGGAACTCGAAGATGGTGTAGGATGCGAGGAGCTGGAGGAACTCATATTTTCGGAACTCGCAGTGCGGTGAAGCAGCGTATGATGCCTTCCTCTACACGTGAAACAACTGTGAGTGCTCGTACAGTCACGAAGCTGATGGCCTCGCGCGAAACAGTTGAGACAGAGTTGCTTCCTTTGGATATAGCCGGAACGCGCGTCGACCGACATTTGGAGAAAGCGCGGGCACATCCCTATTGGATGGTTCTCCCTGGAGCATAAGTCGCACCCTCTCTGTTTGACTTTTGTCTCAAACATTTGGAACTTCTTAGGGACCGCTTGCGTTGGCTTCATATCCTCTATAGCCTCTAGTGTACGATATCGTTCGCTTAGGAAGGTATTCATCTCTTCCCAAGCCGGAATGTCGGATTTCGACGTCAGGGACTGTTCCCATAGAGAAAGGGTAACTTTTGGCAGCTTGCTTGCGCACAGGAACACCAGCAGACAATCCCAGTTGTCCGTGGATATTTGGGAATGTGCTAGCGCTGTCAAACTCCCCTGAATCGTGGACTGCAACTCTTTCAGCGCATGACCAGATTCTTGGGAGATGGAACTCAAGTTGAACAGAAGCTTGAGTTGGCTGTTGACTAGAAGTCGTTTGTTTTGGAAACGGTCTTGAAGCGCTTCCCACGCAGAGGCGAACCCGTCATTTGTGAGCGGGGATTTGGAGACGATGGCTTTCGCCTCGCCGCTCGTCTTCGTGAGAAGATGGAAGAGCTTCTCGACCGGTGTCAGCCTGGGGTTGTTGACATAGACTGCCGTGAATAGGTCCCGGAAAGTGGGCCATCGAAGGTAGTCCCCGTCGAAGACTTCTGTATCGCAGGGAGGTAAGCGGCAACCGGAGGAAATTATTGGCTGGGAGGGTGGTTGCACGGCTAGAGGCGTGGCACTGTCAATTGTCGCACTGATCTCTGCAGAACATGACTCATACACCGAATAGCAATAGTCATATTTGCTCTGCAGCACGAACACCATTTCGAGGGATCCTTCTTGGGCAATTAGATCGGAGCACGTGTCGTACTCCGTCTCTACCTTGTCCCATAAGGCTCTCACTTGTTGCAGGCGGACTTGTAGCAGATGTAGGGACGGGGAAGCTTGACCTGGAGTATTGATCTTTGCTTCAAAAATGCTCACACGATCGCTGGCGGCTATGAATTTGCGCAACGACACGGTTGCGGCCGTTGGCGGTTCGGCCGTTGGCTGTTCGGCCGTTGGTTTTTCAGCGGATGCCATTTTGTGGCTGCTAGCGCGTGTCACCCTCAGGAATTCCGGCTTTGAAACAGAGGGAGCCTCTGACTTTATGGCAAGCGAAGAGGCGCTAGAAGCTTTTGCCACCGGACGAGAGATGACTATTCGTGGAGCGTTTGACGGACTTGTCGATCGACGATCCGTCCCTTTGGAAGTGGAAGCCGAACTTCTGATCCTCGGACTGGAGGGCCTGGGTGCTGAATGGGCTCGAATGGGCCGCGGAGAGGGTGGGTTCGACTTGGCCGGGGAGGAGATTCCCTTTTTATCTCCCTCTATGGGCATACTCAGCTATGCCCTATGAAAAGAGAAGGCCTGCCCCCCCGCAAAAAGAAAAGCGAGTGCACGGAAAAATAACTTTAATCCTTAAACACTGTGGAAAACCCTGCGAAGCTCGCAGAATAAAAAAAACGGCAGGAAAAGAAAATAGCCAAATCTGGCTATGGTCACTCGCTAGCAAAACGAGGGAACTGAACTGTCAGTGTCGGATCTACGAAACGCGTGCGGATAATAGAATATAGCGAAAAAAGTAGCTAGATCTAGCTACAACATAGGCTCGGAAATTGTTGCAAATTCTTAGCCACTTGCTCAAAATTGGCTTCTTCGACCTTATGTTCCGGAATACGACAACAACAATCGTAGAACTTTGCGAGAAAAAAAAAACACCCGCCAAAACTAGCTGGAAAAACGCTAATAAATTTGGCGGAATTTGCTAATAGCTTTCGAGAATTATATGGGTTTTCCTTTTGTTTTTTTTTTTTTATTCGGAACTCACAAAAAGATCGTGAAGAACTACGTGGAAAGAAATTCACAAAAATAGCTAAAAAAATAGCTAAAGGAGGCCAATGGAGATTTATATGCAGGAACCGCACGAAAAAATAACGCCCACCAAACCCTAAAATCGAAACTAGCTAAAATATCGGCTCGACCGAAAACTAGCGGCGTATAAAAATGGCTAAAAAATATCTAAAGGAGGCCAGTGGAGATTGCTATCCTTTACTTCCAGGAACCGCACGAAAACCCAACACCGCCAACAAAAAATATAGCTAAAATAAGGAAAATAGCTAAAAACTTGGCTTGACCCAAAAAGCTAGCTGGCAAAAAAATAGCTAAAAGGAGTGGCGGTATTTGTTGTTAAAAAAAATTTAAAAGAATTTCGGTTTCCTTAAAAAATGTTGTTCCAGGAATTATTTTTTATTTTATCTCGCGGGTGGACGATGTTTTCCCGTCGGCACTTTGCCTTTTCGGAAACGTATTAGTGCAGGTGTTTGTGCACGCTTAACGAGCAAAGAGGAGACGAAATAGAAATGCACTGTATGTGCGTATGTATGAAGCTTTGGAGTTTAAGCAATTGCTCAGCGCAGAATAGCGCGAGGGAAGCCAATATGTATGTATGTACGTAGGAAATATGTAAATTTGCTAGGCGCAGAATAGCGCGAAGCTTGCCCAAAGTATGTATGCATGTATGGATGAAAATATGTAATTTTTGCTAAGCGCAGAATAGCGCGAAGCTTGCCAAAATATGTATGTATGTATGTATGGATGAAAATATGTAATTTTTGCTAAGCGCAGAATAGCGCGAAGCTTGCCCAAATATATATGTATGTATGTATGGATGAAAATATGTAATTTTTGCTAAGCGCAGAATAGCGGGAAGCTTGCCCAAATATATTTATGTATGAAATATGCGAGAAATAAAAACAACTATATTTATGTATTTCTATTTTTTTGAAGTCTGGATTTATTTGTGTTTTATTATTATATATTTTGTTCTTTGGAATTTCTTTTGTTATATTTTTAAATAAAAAACACTGAGGAAATTGTCGTGTGCAAGTTTTTGTGTGTAATTTTATTTATTTTATTTTTTTTAACAAAATATATATTTTGGATTCAGCTGTTTTTTATATTTGCGATTTTATTTTATATTTATAAAACTGGAGGGGCGGATTTTATTTTATATTTGTCGGAGATTACTTTGAAATGTTAGATTTAATTACTATTTGTAAGACTCTAAGTGTATCGAATATGGAAATAAATGAAGAGTTAAATAAGTAACGAGAGAAAAGGAAGAGAACTTATTAAGAAAGAGCGTGGTGGGGATGAAGAGAGTATTCCCTACCGAGTGTGGCGCAATGACGAGTAGAGAAGAACGAGGAAAGTAGAGAAAGGGAAAAGTGCAAGTCAGTTCCAGCGAGACTGTCAGGGAAAGCGGACGGACTACTCAGTCATTGCGACTCACTGCGCTTAGTACAAATAAAAGGAAACGATCATGGCTGACAATATTGACCCCCCATCCCCGACATATTTATATTTGGGTGTATGTTAAGGTATGCTTTCTTTAAAATTGTAATAATACTATTTGGAATTGCAGTTAGTGTCGGACGTATTTTGGAACTGAGTGACGGAACGTGAATTTGTAAGAAAAAATATATGTATGCACTTGGACACCAGCGGATCACAGCACGACTAAGTAGGGGGCCAATATTGGCAAAGTACTTTTGCACTTTAAAAACGGAAGAAAATTCACTGTGGCTGGGCGTTTATCACTATGTGCACATATGTATATATTTTCTCACTTTTCACTGTCACTTTTCATTATTTTCGGATCGAGGAAAAAAAATTAACGCCTTGGAAAAGGAATATGGCGACCACGGACGAATGGACTTTGGACTTCGTACTTATCTTGGTATCCGCAATGGGGCGCTGGAAATCAAAATTTCGCTCGCAGGCTCGAAGGACCATGAAGTGGAGGGGGCGGAATGGCCAAAACAAGATCGTCGTCCTTCTTGGAGGTGTGGTCGTCGGAACGTTGGGCTGGAGTTGGGCTGGCTGCTGAGTCCCACAATGTTCCCAATTAGTAGGCGAGAGGGGGGTAGCTTCAATTCAGTCAGTTTATTTGCTTCACTTCAATATTACGACTAACTTAACTATATGGAGAACGGGCTGCAGGGACCGCGGAGTGGTGAATTCGCTGCTGGAGAGTAGCGAAAGAGAGGGAGACGGGCAGAACGGAGAAAACAGTAAGCGGGCGCGCAAACGCTAGCCGCTTACACTGCCGACCAGAAATTCGAGCCCTTCTGGCGTGAACAAATTCATTTAAATTTATTGCGGATAAATTCTGACGCAATCTGTGCCTTTTGCTGTTGTACAACAGCCAAAATAGTTGGTAAATGCTCCATTTCAAATTTGCAACTGCCAATTCGACAGCTTTTGTTTACGTTTTCATGAGCCACAGCTGATAGATCAGCTGTTCGGATGCTAAATGCGCTTTAATGTTGTGTGGGAACACGAGTTTCACATTTGTGAAAAATCCCAAACGTTCCTCACAAATGTGCTGTGTGGGAAGACAGTATAAATGTGAATTTGATATTTGTATAAGATATCGATAAGTTAAACGATGAAGTGTTCCCTAAGTTGTATTTTGACGATATAATAGCCTGGGCACACTGAAAAATGTAAGCGAAGAAGTAAGATGCGCCGAGAAAACACAAAATTGAAAGGCGCAGAAAAAAGTGAATAAATTCAAAAATACAGTATAAAAATCAATGCCTTTGTCGAAACTTAACATCTTTCAATTTTGTTTTGAAGTTGTGACGTGTTCTCAATTTTTGGTGCGTTTACAAGTGACGCCGTGGTGCATACATACGTAATAGTGCCAATTTCATCAGAACTCCAGAATTCTGCATATGTGTGAAAGTGACGCCGTGGTACATACATACGTGGTAGTGCCAATTTCATGAGAACTCCAGAATTCTGCATATGTGTGAAAGTGACGCCGTGGTACATACATACGTGGTTGTGCCAATTTCATCAGAACTCCAGAATTCTGCATATGTGTGAAAGTGACGCCGTGGTACATACATACGTGGTAGTGCCAATTTCATCAGAACTCCAGAATTCTGCATATGTGTGAAAGTGACGCCGTGGTACATACATACGTGGTAGTGCCAATTTCATCAGAACTCCAGAATTCTGCATATGTGTAAAACTGACGCCGTGGTGCATACATATATGTGGTAGTCCCAATTTCATCAAAACTTAAAAATTCTGCGTATGTGTAAAACTGACGCCGTGGTGCATACATATATGTGGTAGTGCCAATTTCATCAGAACTAACGAATTCTGCGAATTTAAAGTGTACCGATCTGAAGATTGAAAAGCGAAACGACAAGAAATAACACGTTCACAACTGAACAATTGACTAAAGCCTTGTTTTATTTGGGTGACTAAAGACAGCTATGAGCAGGGGCATAGCTAGCCGCCAGGGCAAATAAATCACCCCCATCGTGTCCCTAAGAAATTCAAGAAGCTTAATGGGTCAATATAATTTGCGAAGCAACAAAATATAGTCTGACGAGGAAAACCTAGACGCTACAGTGTGTGAGGTTAAAGATAAAGGTGACAGTGAGAAGAACAATGAGTTGTGTTCGGCTCGAGGGGGGAAGACTTCCTTCAATTTCCAGATAGGCACAAAAAACCACTTCCCGCGCCGCAGTCAGTGAAAAGAACACCGGAGTAGAAATATCGAAATCGCGCAAGAGAACAATCACCACCAAATGCAAAGAAAGTAGGCCGGGGGGGCGTGGTAATTTTCAATATATATAAAATCGTATGATCCGCTTTATTCGAGTTCTAATTAGGAATTAAAATGTACAAGCTGGAGTGGGAGATCAAACTAGCTAGGAGAGCGGGAGCGGCCGCTCAGCGATGCGACGATCGGCCAGAGCCGAAGCATCCGCTAGAAGAGCGGGAGCGAGAGAGCGAGCTGAGGAGCTTTGAAGAAGCGGGAGCGCTTCGGAGTCGCGGGGGGCGGGAACATAAGCTCCTGACCTGAACATTCTCCCCCCCTTGCGAGGATACGCAGCAAAATATCAGAAGTCCTTCGCTCGAGAAAGTGTTGGAGTCGCTGAGCGGTCGTCGGCATGTAGAAGTGTGTGATGATCCTGTCCACACGACTGGCATCGGTCGTTACTACGGCAAGATCCTCC